GCCATTTTATATCTTTCTACTGGGGTAAGGTGTAGCCTGTGCTCCCAAGGCAGCCGTTATATGCTACAACGACCACGTCTTTATTTCTAACATAGATTTTTTGTTTTCAATGGCAGATTCATCTATCAGATATCTGGATTTTCCAGAGGCACTGCAATTTCCTTATATCTGAAGGGAACATAATCATACTATCTTCTTTGTCAACTTACCCCTCTTTCTGTATTTCTTTTTTATATATTTATAGCATGCTTAGTTATAGGACATGGAGAATGCTTTCTTTTTGTTCCCATTTTCTCTTTTCCTGGCTAACTCCTAAGTCCTTCAGTCTCCATTCAGTCGTCAGTGCTTCCAGGAGATCTATAACCTAGGGGTAGCCTCTGGATGTTCCCAAAGTAGCCTGTGAGAAAGCGCTCAAAGCTCTCTCATGGCACGTATAGTATTGAGCTTGTTTAGTTATCTGGATATCACCCTTTCCTCCCTCAACAATGCTGTATGTTCTTTGAAATCAAGATAAATGTTATGTTTTCCTTTTTACTTCCTGTTACTTGGCCCGTAGCCGTTACCAATAAATGCTTATTGAATGAGTGAATAAATGTATTTATTGTTTGTGGAAACACTGACTTAACTGTTTCCCCAAACCATATTCTTTCACCAGGGACAAATCTCTGTAAATGTCAGCTTCCTTATTTATAAACGGGGTGGGTACACTGAATGATCCTTTACAGTGTTGATAAATTGATATTTCATGATTCTAAGAGTCACCATCCTTGAGCATATTTAAAAGAAAATGGGCCAGGCACGGTGGCTCACACCTGTAATCCTAACACTCTGGGATGGATGGATTGCCTGAGCTCACAGGTTCAAGACCAGCCTGAGCAAATGCAAGACCCTGTCTCTAAAAAGCCAGGCATTGTGGACTACTTGGGAGATTAAGATAAGAGAATAGCTCAGCTACTTGGGAAGTAAAGATAAGAGAATCCTTTAAGCCTAAGAGTTTGAGGTTGCTGTGAGCTATGTTGCTAAGGCACTCTACTGAAGGCAACAAAGTAAGATTCTCTCAAAAAAAAAAAAGAAAGAAAGAAAAAGAAAATGATGCAGATTGTGGAGACATTCCAAAATAGGGTTTCCAAAATATTTTGAGCACTGGTGGTAACATTAAAATTTATTATTATTTGGCTATCCAGTTATACTGTTTAACAAATGTGTTGAGTGCTAATGATCTGAGCACTCGAACATTTGAGTGGTTTACTATTCTTTTGCTTGCCATATTTAAATAATTTTAGAAAGACTGTCAGTTTCCTTTTGCTAAAGATTTTCAGGTAAAAGTTACTTGTTGGTCATGGATATTGTGGATGTGACTTAAAATGTAACTGTATCGTGATAAGACTAAGTGACCACTAAGGTTTTGCCTATGACAAAATTCTTCAATTTTGAGGTCCATAGCTTTTGCTTTTATGTTTCAACAGAAAAAGAAAGTCGAGTTTTAAGCGTGGCTAACAGACTAATTTTCCAAGTTCATCTCTAACTAGATTTAATAGCAACATTAGAAAGCCACCAAAGTCTGTGTTTATCAAAATTGTTAACTTGCCATCTACAGATTGATTCTAGAGGGTCGTCTCCAGCTTGTTGAAATTGTTTGGTTTAAATCAGTATCCTAAGTCCAGTTTACAAAAGTCTTTTGGTATAGTCTTTTTTTTTTTTACTTTAAAAACTTTAATGATATCAAATGTAACATAGACACAAAGTCACATAAAACAAATTTATATTTTAATGAATTACTGCTATTTGAAGATACTTGTAACAATTGTCACTCAGGTCAAAAAACAGGACTTTGCCAGCCACTCCCCAAAGCCCCTATATGCCTGGTCTCTCCCTCTTTTTTTTTTGTAGAGACAGAGTCTCACTTTATCACCCTCGGTAGAGTGCCGTGGCATCAACAGCTCACAGCAACCTCCAACTCCTGGGCCAGGGGTCCTCAAACTTTTTAAACAGGGGGCCAGTTCACTGCCCCTCAGACCGTTGGAGGGCCGGACTGTGGGCCCCAGATGAGTCGGCTGCTAAGCAGGACAGGCAGTGGAGGCAAAAACACCTGGCGGGCTGA